TCCTGGACCCCCTTCCTATCCTTCCATTTCTCACAATCTATCCCTATCTTCATCGTCTTCTATTAATCCTTTTAATCGCTTTTTCTCGCCTTTTGCTCGATCATTTATCACAAAGTTTCTCAAATTTTTCAAACAAATGAGTCTTACGTTTGCCGTTCATTATTTTATTGCGAAATCACAGTACAAATTCTTGATTAAACTATATTCTCTAATCGATCGGCAATTATAATTTTTTATTGCAATAAAATTAATCTTGTCTGTCTGATTCTGTTCATAACATGAACTTGTGCTATATCCCTTCGACTATTTAACACTTTTGTTGCTACTAATATTTTATTTTTCATGTATAAAATTTTTCTTTAGATTTGCTTGTTGTTTTATAAATTTAAAATAATTATCGGTCCCTCTTGCGCAGTAATTTATTAAGTAATTTATTAAGTATTGATAAGTTATAAATTAGATTTAAAATAGATTTTATGATAAATAGAATGAATTAAATTGATAAATTAATGAACTAAATCATTTCAATAATTTCATTTATTTATTTTATTTTATTATTAAATTTATTGCTATTAAATAATTAATAAATTTAATTGCTATTAATAAATTTATTGCTAACTTTTAATTTAAATGCAAAAGGAATCTATAAAAAAATATTAATACATATTTTCTTTTTAAATATAAAAATATAATAACAATGAATATTTAATGAAAACAAATATGTAATAATAGAATTAGTAACATTATTAAAATAATTGAGAAAATATAATATATGTGTTTGTAGTAACGAAAGTGTTAATTTTTGTCGAGATTAGATATGGAAAAAGTAAAATGATACAATGTCTTCTTAAAATATGCAATATTCTAATGAAATTTCAATTACAGTTATTAATATAAAAATGTATTAATCAAAAATGAAAAAAAGGAATTAATATTAACATTACATTATTCTTTTAAAGTTATAATGTGTTAAACATTTAACATATTAACTATGGTACATTAGATATTTTATATCTAGATAAAAAAATTAATAAAATTTTTTTACTTTCTTTTGATTTTAATAATTTAATATTTTTTTTCAAAACAATGAAATAATATTAATTTAGATTCTCTTATTTCACAAATTATTTAAAAGATATTAAATTTTAAAATATATTATATTTAAGATTTTAAGATTATATTATATTATTTCTAGTTAATTCAAATTTTTATCATAAAACTGAATCACATAAAGTATTGTACATTGTACATAAAAAAATTATATAATAAAAAATAAAAAATTATGTTGTCTTTATAAAATACAATTTAAATTGTTTTCAGCTGTTCATTTTTAACAAAATATTGTTAAAAAAATTTATAATATACTAAAATTTAAGAAATATTATTTATATTTTCTTCTACGAAAGAACATGTATCATTTCACTTTTACTCAAGAAATGCAATTCATATAAAGATACTTATATTAAAAATTTGATCAAAAGCTTAATTCAAATAATATTCTTATAAATTTGAAATTTGTCGTATATAATTTATTAATTTAATTTATATTCTATTATTCTACCAAATATATATTTATTGAATAATTGAAAAACACAAAAAAATGTTTTTATACAACATATAATAATTTTAGCCAATCTTTTTTAATGCAAATACTTTTCCAATGTTAAATCGTTTCAATTCGAGTGTAATTTGTTAATGCGTGTACCATCATGAGAATTCAAATTCCGCCGTCAAAATTCCTTGTATAATTCAAATCGTTTAATCTTTTAAAATGAAATATATTTAGTGATTCGTTTTGTTTAAATCATTTAATTTAATGACTTTATTTATCGATGAATTTATTACACAATAAAATGAATTTGGCTACGATTCTCCAAATTTGTCATTTACAATGAGAAAATTAATTGAAGACAGATTTTGATTAATGTTCATTCTCTTTCGTAGTATGAGAAATTAAGAATAGAAAATGATAAAGAGTATAGATAAATAATTTTGCATATAATATCATGTCATGTATACTTATGAGTGATGTTTTTACAGAAAATTGTTGGCTTTTGCGATTCACACGAAATCGATACAAGTTATAAATATTGTGTGCGTGGTCAGATATAACCTTATTCTATCGTGCTTTCTTGCTTTGGTTATTGAAATTTGTAATTTTTTTCATAATCAATTAAAACTCTATTTTTTTTTTGCAAAATTTTATATAATATAATATAATTACGAATTTTTGATAAATTATATATTTCATTTAAAATAAAATTTAAAATAATTGAAAATTCTAATTAAATTTAATTTGGATTATAAATTCATCATTGTTTATTATATTTAAATATTTTTCCTCGTAAAAATATATTAGAAAATATTCCTTTAAAAAGAAATTTATTTAAAAAGAAATTTAATTAAAATTTTTTAAATTTCTCTTAAAAAGATAATGTTTTTAAAAAAAATCAGACTTTCATTTCTTTCAAAAGAAGGTTAGAAAAAGACTCTTGTCTGGAAAACTGGAAAAATTCGCGTAATATTTAATCAAGTTCCTCTAATTAATTGTATCATATTCACAGCCACTCAATCTTATTTTGAAAAAAATTTTGGTACTAAGAAAAACGTTTATCAGAAAGAAATATTCGTTAAAAATTTCACATGTTGAATATTCATTTAATCAAGGAACATTATTCATTTGCATTGTCAGGCCTGAATTCATCCAAGATAAGAATAATTTTCATGAAAGAGAAAAATTAAGCTTAAACCACGCCTTGAGAACAACTTTTTGAACTAACTTTCATTAATTCTTGTTTAATTGTTTTATAATATTGATTCGTTCGTATAGAGAAACACGAGTGAATTCGTGCTAACCGGTCATTAAGGGGGTTATGTAGAAACTTGTGCGTAGCCTGGTCGGGCAAATGGTAAAAAATAGTCGATAAGGAAGCATGAAAGGGTTATACACGATTCTAAATTGAAAAATATGAGATTTGGTCGAGAGATACGATGAATTAATTATTTTTCTCTTCATCGAGCATGGTTTTCGATTATCGTAATTGTCGCATTTGCCATTAATTTACAGAGGGCGTTAGCTCTCTGATTTTATCATATTGATCAAATATAAAAAAAAAAGAAAAAAAGAAAAAAAGGAAATATACATACGAATCGAAGTAAAATATACTTAATCATGGCTTTCATTGTACTTTCAAGAATTTTTTTTCGTTTACAAGTTTGTTTACGATTATATATATTATGTATACTCAAGCCAGAAAATGTTTTAATTTAAATATTTTAAATTAATATTCCTTTATCTCTTCTTAATCATCGCCGATGAAAAATGAAAGAGAATCATTTCGCCATAAATTTTGAGACTTTTTCTTCTTTCTTTTTTTTCGTTCAAGCGCTAGCGATATATTATACGCAGAGAAATGTATAAAAATCGGTTATATGAAGAATAATCAAATCGTTATATGCGTTTAATATATCATCATAAGAGACGCGTCCTTCTCTTTTTTCTCTTTTTTTTTTTTTTTTACCAATAGGTTTTTTTTTCTTTTGAAAAAGTAGGTTTATACCTCGAGATAATTGTCACGTTACTCCGATTAATATTACACTTATGAATATTTTCGAGTGATTATGAATATTATCCATTTTACATTATCGTGTACGAATCACTGTTTTCTCGTGGCATGCTCAACATATACGAGGATAGAAAACCATGCCTTCGAATTTATGAAATTCGAAAAGAAATCGCTAAGAATCGATAAGCAATATGATACTATTCTTGTTACGTTTTTAAAAATTGTACGAAGAAATTATTGAGAGAAGGAAATGATGCTTTTGCTTACGTATATTCAATTCGATTTAATACTGCATACATTAAAATAATATTTATTTATTTTTATTAATAATAATAAATTAATAATAATAATGTTTAAAGATCTAGGAAGTAAATTTGAGATAATCAATTTTTTTCAAATAAAATTTTAAAAATTAAAAAATTCTTTATTTAAAGAAAGATATTTAGAGATAATGATATGCAATTTGTAAAAAATTTAAAAATTTTTGATATGTATTATTAAAGAAATACATATAATATAAGATAAAATAATTTTATATTTTGTAACAATATATATTTAAAAAGAAAGACTTATATATTTGTATAATTTACTTTGCATCTATAATTTTTAACAGTACCACTTAATGAATTAATGCTGATTCTCATTAAACTTTCATTTTCAAAATGATAAAATAATAAAAAATAATCTTTATGCTCTTAAATTATTTCAATGCTTCATAAAATAAAATTTATTTTTCTTCAATAATAATAAATAAAATATTTGTTCTTAAAAAAATAATAATACAAAAATAAATATTCCAAGGCATAATAAAAATTCTTATATTAATAAAATAACAACTTAATTTGCAATATTTTATCAATGAATTCATTTAAAATTAAAAAAATTGAAATTTTTTTCAAATTTCCATTCATTATCAATATTAAAAAAGAATCACGAACAACGATACGAAAGCAGAAAGCACATTTTCCTTCCACTGGCATGTTTCTATGATTCCCGTGAACCGATCGACGTAGCTGCGTCGACGAAACCTTAATCGACTTCTTTGTCGAGCATGCTACGTTAGAATGAATGAGAGATCACGAACGTGCGATACAATATTTAGAAGAAATGCGTTTCTTTTCTTTTTCTCTTTTTTCTTTTTTTTTTTTTTCTTTTATCTCGAATCACTTTCACAATTATTTTTTGCGACGATCTCCACATTGTGGCACATCACGTTCGCTATTGCTATTTTTATTTCTCGTGTGTACATACTCAATTATCATCGTTTACACGCGATTAAGACGCAGACGAATAGATTCATTCTCTCTCTCTCTTTTATTCTTCGTTCTCTCTCTCTCATTCCTTTTCACAGACAATTTTTCCTCGTTTCTTACATTTACATACCCGTTATAATAAAATACACATTCACGAATGTCACAGTGTTGCTTTATTCCCTTTCTTTTCTTCTTTTCCCCCTCTCTTTTTTTTCTTTCGCCCTATCTGAACGCAATTAATCGCTCCACCTGCATATTTCCCCATCCATCGTTTTCTCTCTTTCATTTCCAACTCCTTGCTTCTCTCCATCCGATCGCATCTATAATTATGTACAAGGTGAAAATTGATTAAGTGTTCTCTGATAATCGCTCCCTTCATCAGTTTCTCCCGCTCTCGCACACTATTATAAAAAATTGATTCGTTTTTATCATCCTCTTCATCGCGGGATTTACTTTATCGTTACAACACTTTCTTCTCGATGTCGTCTTCTTCTTCATTCTTTTTTTCTTTCGATCGTTTATCTTCACCATTCAGATCTTGCGGAGAGTTAAGCTCATCAGCAATAAGATCCTTTCTCTCTGAATGATTTTTTCTTTCTCTCTTTCTCTCTTTCTCTCTCTCTCTCTTATGAAAAATATTCTCGAAGACAATCGTGTGTTCACCCATCACAGATAGTTCCAGCTTGGGAGGTACGCTTTAAACACTTTCAACGTTCCTCTCTACTCCCTCTCTCTCCTTTTTAAAATTAAAGTCTTACTAAAGTCGTTCTTACGCTTGTATATGTATATGTATAAGTAACAAGAGTCTTCGTTTTATATATATACACGTGTGTTCATTTTCTCGTTTCTAAACGTTCGAAGAGGGTCAGAAACCTTCTTTCATTTCGTATGCAACACTCTTCCATTTCGATTCATCAGATTTTATCACGACCAGTCCTCTTTCACTGTTCGATAAACATCCACCCTCGAACCACGATTTTTAGTAACGATAGTCGTGTTACGTTTAAAGGCGCGTTTTTTACTTTTTTTTTTTCTTCTCTAATATTTACATCCCACCGTGGAACACACTCGGTTAAAGAGACTACCAGAATGATCCAGGTGGAGTTTATTTTACTTTAAGGCAGTGTCGTTCGTCGTGGACGAGTTATCTCTGGATTACTTGGCGTCAGGGGTTCTTTTACAACGTTATTTTCATCCTTCAATCGTGATTTCCGCGTCGATTTGAAAATAGCAGAGCCAGCACGACCAAGCTTGTATAGGGCCTCGTTTGATCCTCGATCACGTGTAACGATGGTTCGAACTCGACTTCGAAACACGGCCCCGTGTGTCATACGGGCTCTTCTCGCTTGAAATTGATGTTCTGCGAGGCGCAAAAGTCACGTGTGAACGGGATGCAATTGAACAGTTTGCACACCTCGCACTCGTACACCGGCACATTGTAGAAGAGAGCTAGAAGAAGGGTGAACAGAACGACGATGAGGATCATACAGATCCATATCAGCCAGATCTTGCGACGACGATCGTACTGGCCAAACGAGATGAATGGCAAGAGGGCGTAAGCGGCAAGGAAACCGAAGATGAAACCGAATAGGTGGGCGTAATTATCCACCCATGGAAGAATGCCAAGGATTAGTAAGCCTATGAGGACGAAAATCAGCTTGGACAAGGCTCGTCGTGGATGCTTCAACATCGGCCAACAGTGCAACACTTCGACGATCAACGTTGCGAGGAGGGCAAAATGTGCTCCTGCTGGCCCGACCTGAAATTATATAATTTATTTCATTTTAGAGATGATATTCAAGTATTATAAGTATTCGACTAAGAATGTTTGGGTAAAAAATATTTTTATAAATTTTTATAAAGTATTTTTATATTTCTGAATTATATTATATAAAACGTCCATAGTCTAGTTATAAAATTTTGGATAAAGTAGCCTTTATATTATAATATTTGACTACATTTGAATACATTTATTCACTGTGGATTTCGACTTTAATCCAACTGTTAAAATATTCTCTTATATTGTGAAATTCAGTAATGTTTTTTGACGTATTTGAGTTGAATGCCTTCAAATTCTTGTTTTAGATAATTAAATTATGTAATGAACTTTATGATATAAAAGTATTTTTAATCATAATTAGTAAAGAAACAGACCAATATACAAATATAATATTGATAATAAGATAATTACAAATATTAATATTAATGTAATATAATATGATTGAATTCATTGAGAGATATTTTGAGATATATATTCGTTGATTGAATCCAATATCTTAGAAAAATTCAATTAAACGCAAAATAAAACTTATTAAAATATAAACTTTTAAAATGCTATGTTCTAAAACATCTGAACAATTTAAAAAATATAGAAACAGCAATAAATTTGTTATTTTATTTCATTCAACTTAATCTTAATTACCTTAATAATTTATTTCATTTAACGCAAATACTATTATTTTATTTGTATTAAATTTATTTATATATTTTATTCATATTATATTATAATATTTATATCTATTTATTTATATTTTTATATTATTATTTATATTAAAATGTCAATATAAGTTTTATAAATCTCTTTTTATAAAGAATATATTGTAATTATATATGAAATGAAATGTATATTTTAAGATATAGAATTATATTAAATTATATATATATATATAATATACTTAAATATTGATTCTATATTTCAAAAGTTTTCTGCTAAATATAATTCATTGCTATTTTTATGAATTCTTCTTAATATTTATTTTATTTTTAAAATTTATACCTAATAAACATTTCTCAATAGTAATAAACATATTATAATCTTACTTTTTAGTATTAAAAATATAATTAAAATTAGTATCTTCGATATTATTATCGACTTTAAATGATATTCACCGAATGTACACGAACAATTTTAATGTACAGTAATGTAGAGTAAATGAGCACTATATCTGGATAATTAAAGATTGGATAATACATGTTTATGATAATGAACGCAAGGATAAGTAATAGAATTAATTAACATTAATTAATTAATACTACCATATACAGAACATAGACGACCAAATATGGAAATTTTCTCTATTATTTACTTTCATTTACTTTTTTATTTATATGTACTATCTTCCGAATCTTGGAATACTCTGATTGGAATATTCTTATTTGGATTTAATATTAAAAAGATTTATGAAAGGATAGACAAGATCAATGATACACTAGATAAAATATGAATTAAGAATAAAAAAAAAATGTATAAAAATATGAAAAACATAAAATAAGTTAAAATTTTGAAATCTGGATTTTGTGAAATTCCAAATTTTTAATCGAATATCGAATTCTTGTACAAATCTTTAATATTTCATTATATTCATAATTATTATATATTCATAAATAAAGTTTTGCTATATAATTGATTCTACAAACCTCTAAAAATATTATTGTTGAAATTTTCGATGATTAGAAAAATAATCTTGGAATTTCTGAAAAATATAACTTTCTATAAGATCTCGTCTAAATGAAGACAAAATATATTTATTGTAATATTGTTCTATATTATAAAATATTACTTCTATATTTTCAATCAAATTTTACATGATTAATTAGCGAGTAATAGTCGTCTCTAAATTAACCTAATAAAACATAAATTAAGAATTAAATAAGCTTCAACCAACACTTTTATATATGCTCTACGAATATATTTATTCCTTATAAATATAAATTTCATAATTTCCAAATAACCATTTAAGATTTAAAGGATTAATATAAGCACAGTCGTTGAATGACACGAGTTATCGATAATCCACGCAACGGGAATAACGCCTGCGACCATGTTTCCTCAAGCAGTCTAGGTGAAACAATAATTAACACTATACCTTGTAAAGGGTGAAGGAGGCGGAGCTCCCTCGAGCGGAAGGTACGTTTAACCAAACTAATTAGAACAAATTGGACGGTATTAGTTCTCGAGGAACGATGCTTTCTGTCCGCCCCCTTTATTCCACCTACCACGATGTACACCTTAATTCACGAGTGTACGCTCCTGATAGAGGAGAAACATTCGGAATAGAGAAAGACTAGGGGGAATAGAATTGACGTATAACTTAGAGTTTACCGAAGTGTTAAGAGGGTAAACTGTTGGGCGATAAGACCAACGAGGAATGACGTAAAGGAAATGCTTGTGACCGTGTTATCCTTTTCATGGGTATGAGTCATGGTGGTCTCTGATCAATTATTTCACTCGACTAGGATCAAATATCCGATTAAATCGACGATACACAATTGAATGTCCTACGAGAATATTCATTAAAACTTATGTGGTCTAATATATAGTGTAAAGTAAGATTTTTCGTTTTTATAATATATATACGTCATGGAATTTTAATTTTAATCGCATTTTTTTATCGTGTATAATTTTTGAACGATATATAATATTGATATATGATGGCTTTATTCGATGGCTATTAATTTTAAATTTCTCTTCTGCATAATTTTCCTCCCCTTCTTGGATTAACATTTTAATTTTTATTTCAGGTGGATATGAAAATTGTGAATATGAATATGAATGCGTAAGATTGTCTAGATAGAAAGTTATTATCTTTGGAATTTATTAATTATCACGGGTTTACGATATGAATATTTAATTTTTAACTTTTAATATGAATGAATTTTAATAATATCTGTACTTTTTAAATTCTAGCTGATCTTTTTATAATTTGAATTTTTTTAACAATTTGTAAATTAAAAATTAAATATTTATAATTTTTATAAAATTCTTGCCAAATTTAAATTTGGCACATTTGATATATTATGCATTTGGAAAATATATTTTGTAAAATTTCATATAACATTCATTAACTTTTATTATATGAACAATTCGATTATATTATAAATTTTTTTAATAGATCGTTAATAAATAAATTAATATATAATAATAATATATAATTAATATTATATATTATTTTAATAATGATTTATAAGTTATTTAATTAATTTGATTATTTGATTTAGTAAATCATTACAAATCATTGAATTTGCCTGCATGAAACAGAAATGGAATAAATTTTCAAGAAGTTAATATTACAGAAAAGTATTGATATTTAATTTATATTCAAAAATTTTTATTTTATTTTAGTAATATATATATATATATTTTTTTATATTTAAAAGATGTTATTTTTGATAGTAATATGTAAATCATATAATTTATTTAATTTATTATTCGAATTGAATTGTATATGAAACATAAACGACTAGAATTTTTCAAATTAATATAAAAATATAAATTACTTTTGATTGAAAATAATTTTAATTTATTCTATACGAGAAGGTGATTAAATTGAAAATAAATTTCTATCTTGTATTCATGTATTTCAAAATTTCCCTTATAGATTAAAATGTACCTTACCTCTGCCCTGTAAGGAACGAATATCGCACTGGCCAGGTTTCCAGCAAGTGCTCCGATGAAATAAATCAAAGCAATACGCAACGAGCCAGTTAACTTCTCTAAGTCCCGCATTAAGAAATACTGAACCAATAGCGTGATTGATAGATGAAGAATTCTGCAAATAAAATATATAAAAGCAATCAATTTAGTAAAATTCTCTTTTAATAAAATATTCTCTAACTACTTTTAAATAAAGCATTTATACTGATTGATATATCCTGATTTAAATTTTGATTTATTAAATTATAATATTATCAAATTGAAGATAATAAATTTTTTAAACAAATTATATTACTAATTATTAATTTATTATTTTTTCACGTTCTGAAGATAATATTTCAAATTAGATGTTCAATAGATGTTGATTAATATAAGATCACAAAATATCTAGAAATTAAATAATTTTTAAATATACATTTATACATTTATATAGATATATTACATAAAGGCAAATATATATCATAAAGAAATATATCATAATCACTTTTAAATACTATCCTAGGATACATTTTTAATAATTAATATTTTCAAATATAAATATAATACATATTTTATTTGGACAATAGTTTATTTAAAAATTTTAAATAATTCCACGTACCCAGCATGAAGAAACATGGTGGTGAAGAGCCTATAGAATTGATCAGGCCACTCGGGATGAAGAAAGGGTATCATACCGCAGACATCGTGCAAACACTCGACCTGAGAACAGAGGGACGCTTCTTCGTGGAAGTATCCGTGTACAAAATCACAGTATTCTTTTGTGGTGATGCGACACATCCCGTGGATTCCGATGCAACATGGATGCCCGATCACCTCGCAGACCATGTGCTCTGCCATCTTATCCTTGTATCGGCCCACTGGGAAATTTCCATTGCCCCGTTGACTTCCGTTTCTACTGTTGAGCAAGGCAATATGTTTTCCTCGATATTATTCATGAAAAAAGTTAGCGGAGTTAGAATTTTTTCGGTTTTAAAAAGAGTTTTTAAAAATGCATGAATCCAAATAAAACTGTTCAATTTTTACTCTCAATACAAATTAACGAAACAACTTTCGAGAGTGTTTTAATAGATTTTCTAATGGATTTATATATTAAGATTCTGAAGTTAGTAAAATAAATATATAATTAATAAAAATTCTTAGCTCTTAATGTTCTGGAAATTATTTTATATATTAATATCATTTGTAAAGAAAACTACTTTCATGTATGAAAAATCATATCAATTTATTTATTTATTTTTATATAAGATTATTTTTATTTTTTATAAATAAAATTTTTCTTTATAAATGATTTTAATATAAAAATATAAAGATAAATATAGGCCTATTTATATTATTATGTGTTATTCAAAGAGTTTTTAAGTATCCAGAACAAATACAAAAAATAAAAATTATTACAAATAAACAAAATTCAACAAATGATTCAATGAAAAGATTTAACTTATACGTAAAGATTTAAAACATCTTCTCTTTAAAATTTAACAAAATTTATTATTTAAATTTCTTTTGAAAAATTGAATGCATCAAGAGATGATGTAAATGATGTGAATTGGATCTTTGGATGACGAATTTACCTAAATCGTTGATTGAACGGATTAGTTTTTCGACAAATGGGCCACTTGGTGATATCGTCTGGCCATTCGTAAGGTGCTATGCTAGCTGGAGCATCGCAGAACTTTGGATCCAACCCGCAAACCGATCCACTTATGCGTCCTCCCGGTCCACTGTCCCCAGGTCCCCATTTTTTCCACGTCGATATCGTATTCTAATTTTATAATCATAATATATTCGTGAAATACAATAAATAAAAAATTTAAAATTAAAAATTTATAATACATGCAAACTTATTATCGTTCCAATATTATTAATTCTCAAATTTTTAACAATTTTTGAAATCAACAATAATGCCTTTGAAAACGGACATATTAGTCCATAAATTATCGGTCACTTGTATATTTTGAATAAAAAATTTACCGTATATATTATTAGTGTCATATTATATATATTTTAATAGAATTTTAGAATTTAGATTACAATTTTATTTTCAATATTATAAGAAATTCATATAATATATATATATATAATTTGTTAATAAATTATCATATTAATAATTAATAATAATTATCACGAATCAATTAATAATCATTACAATTCATAATTTATTAAAATGATTTATAATTTCGTTCATCAATGAATATCAATTTTACTTTCTAAATACAAAATTCATTTATTCATATTCAAAATCGCATTAATATTTAACAACTTATGACCGACGATATCATGCAAAAAAAATGTATCTATATCTGTAAATATACGATATTTATTTGTAATATAATAAATATATATCAATATTAAACTTGAATATCTATACAACTGGAAAAAGAAATAAATTTACCGTAGCAGTCGATCTCAATCCCCGGACCAGTTGGTTCGCAAAAGAGAGAAGATTATATTATAAACACAACCGGAGGAAGGACGAAATATACATATATATATTTGATTCGAGTTATATTTAATTTTCGAAACGAAATAACAACTCACAGAGCAATCTGCTTTGCTGGATTGCACGCAGCCAGAGTCATCGTTCCTTATACAACACGCTGTGTCTCGCTCCCTTTCCCGCCAGACATCGATCTCCTTCAGGATTTTAATATCGCGGCGCATACACGGCGCAAACTTCGCCCCCAGATGAATCAAATCGGCGGCCCTCGGACCAAACCAGAAATTCGCTGGTTCCTGGTAGTCCACTTGTTGCAACGACAGACTGGTAACGAGAACCTGTTGTATGAATTGAAAATTATCGTGAAATTTTAATCTTCTGCCAAATTGTTATTGAATTCTGTGATATTTTTTTTGATAATAATGATACAAAAAAATGGAGAAATTTTTATATTTATCAGATGTGTTATTTGTATCTATTTTGTATCTATTTTAATCACATGATTTAGTAAATTATGTATATTTATTTTAGATATTTTTTAATTCTTTTTTCACATTTCCTGTGAAGTTATAAAGAAATTTTTAGAATCTATTAGAATTAGAATATTTTGAAGAAATTATAGAGAAACTTTTATACTAATCAGCAAGAAGTTAAAAATCTTGTATTTCCTAAAAATTATATAATTCAGTAAATAAATTTTTTAAGAAAATTAAATTTATGTATGACATTTTTTATATGAACATTTTACTTATATAAATATAGGATTAAAATTAAAAAAGAAATTTAAAAAAATTTTATCTTTTTTTTCCTTTTTCTTTTATCTTTTGAATTTTTTTTTTAAATTTAAGAAAATTAAAGATTCAGGAACTTACCAAGCCTGATCTATGACTGAGATCCATACCCACAGGTCCGAAACCGTAGCATGCTAACGATATTATCAGAATAAGAATTTGAACAGTGGTGATCCAATACGTAAAATAAGGACGATGATCTTCGAAATCGTCCAGCTGTTTTCTGACGTCTGGTTTCTGGGACACGCTCTTTCGAAATGACCTTCTGCAATCACAAAATAATTTTGATATCATATTAGAATAGATATCATATAGAATATTATTTCGAAAAATAATATTACATATCTGTTAATATAAACGTTTTATATTAATTTTTGAAATTTTCAATTCAATTCATTTTTCAATTTAATAAAAATTATTTTAAAATATAATATTGAGTTTCATTATATATACATCTGTTACAATAAATTTTTATTACGTAAATTATTATTTTTTTAATTTTCAGAAATTTTGAATAATTTATTTTAAATAATTTCTTCTTAACTGCTTTCAAATCAAATTTCTTATATCTGCAATTTTATTTCTATTTTTTTATGTAATAAGAATTAAAATATATTATTTAAATTATACATAAATTAAAATAAATATTTTATAATATAAATTAAGAATTTATCTATATAAGAAAATTTTCCTTCATATTCTCATCGTTAAATATTAATTAATCTTTGTACAAAATATTTTACATTATATTTTATTGTTTATTTTATTCAAAAGTTATTACGAAAGTTCTCAAAATTAAAAAATATTTGTATTAGTTTCTCCTCATTAAAATCTTTCTATATTCTATATTCTTTCAAAATTTATCATTTATATATAAAACGATTAACACATATAGTGAATCGTAAATATTTGTTACAATTAATTTAAATTTATTAAAAAAAATTTATAATAGTAATTTCAATGTTAATTTGATGCTTTGTAAAGATAATAATCTATATCTTTTTCATTTTTCTTTTATTCTTCTTTTGTAGATATATATATATATATATATATATAAATGATGTATTAACAAATCTGATTATTATTTTTTAAATGATTATAATTATAATCTCCAATAATATCAATCAAATAAATCATCATAAAAATTAATTATTTTTTGATCTTCTTTAACTCATACAAGATAAAAATGATCTCAATTTTCAAGATTTTTCAATATTATACAAATGCCATTTTGCTATTTAAAATTATATATATTTTATCTCCAGTATCAATTTTAATTAGATTGCAATAACAAACGATTTGGCGATGAGATTTATGAATATGCATTACTGACGTATTATGGAAATGAAACATAACGTCGTTATACTAATTTCAACATCATTTAAATTTGGTCAAATATATTCTTGCGATTCCATATCTTCTAATTAAAATCCATTGCATGATTTTTCTAAAAGATTAGCTCAAGAGTGGTTATTTTGGAACAATAGGCAACATTTAGAAGATTGTAACCAAACAATTGAAAATAATTTCAGTAAAATGTTATAGCATTATCATATCTGGAACAATATCTTCTCAAAGAAAATATTTCAAAGAAGATAACATTTATATTTTCCGTAAAGAGAAAGATTTACATTTTTATAACATCAATCTCAACAATCTTTTCAAATATCCTTTCTCTTTGTTTCGCAAAATTAATAATTATATTTATAATTAACACAAATGAATCCACGAATATTATCTGTTGTGCCATGTACTATCTATTTCTGTGGAATTGTTGTCGATAAATAATAACTTTTCATGACAAGCAAACAGAGATCTGACACCTATGAAAGCTATACCACATGATGGATAACTATATCCCTCTTGGCATTTTTTTAAATATCACGCCACCCTAGCAAGACGCTTTGCTGTCACGGGATTTTTTCTTCTCTCTCCCCCCCCCCCCCATCCCCTCTCTCTCTCACTTCTGACATTTGCCGTTTATTTGTTATTTGTGTTCTGCGTGTATCTCGAACTCGGGTCGTACCTATATGATAAAACCTTCGTATTATTCGATCGTTAAAACGAAATGAAGAAGAGCGAGAAAGTTGTTTCAATAAAACGAACGCGTTATCATCTTATCCGCGGGGCAATGGTATAAAATAAACGTAGGAAAGACAAATTTCCATCCTATAGTTATATTTTATCCTCTCTTTCGTTCCTTTCTTTCCTCCTTTCCTGCTTTTTCCTCTTCTTTCCTCTATCTTTAAAATCTTAAAAATAGAGATTTTACAGTGGATAGTGAATTTAATCGAAGAATTCAAGGATTGGTCTTGCGATTAGAATAGAAATTGATAGAAATTAATTATAAATCTTAAAATATTATTTTGGAAATTTAAATCGTTTGCATTTTTCAAGATTTGAAGTTTCGTAAGATATTTAAATTTTTAATTAGAAAATATTAGAAATTAATTGCAAATCTTAGAATTAAAATATATACGTTTATATGTATGAAAACTTTTAAGAGGAAAAAAAATATCGGCCGATAAAATTATTCGCGTAGAAATTTATTTATTTCGAAATTAATTTTTTCATCAACGTGGAACAGCAATCGCATTAATATACAATGACTGATATCTGATTAAACGTATATATGTATATGAGACAATTCCAAATTAATAATAGTAACTTGACTTATTGTTAATTTTTTTTTACTTTTCGACGACTTTATTTTTAATCGCATTGTGCTAACATATTTTTCATATTGCGAATAAATTCAACGATAAAATATTAAATTAATAAATAATCAAATATAATAAATTATCAAAAATTATCGAATAACGCAATTTATATTATAAAATATTTTCATAAATTTATAGATTCTATGTTTGATAAAATATTTATGATGTAATTATTCGATACAAAATTCATAATGATAATAAATAAACGTATTTTCTTCTTATGTAAATTTTGATTCAAAACTTTAGAAAGCCTCGATACAAGTTACGAGAATTATTATGAAGTATTACTATAATAAGATTATTTATTAATCATAATCATTAATTCAATCGAATATTATAAATTCGAATATCCTCGTGTTAATCCAATTTTCTCATCTCAACATTGTAATTGTCAAAATTTTATTCAATTATTAATCAAAAACAATTTTTAAATAAATTTACAATCAGAGGAAAAAGGAACCTTTATTTTGAAGACCTTTTTTTGTTTCGTATCGATTCAACTTCTCGTTCTTGAGATATCATTGTATAAAAAGAACTTTGTAATTTTTTGCCATTTTACTCAGCCTTTTCCTCGCACGCATTCATTGACCTATAGCAAATTTTATAAGCAGTGGTCAGTGACAGACCATGACTCAGCGTCTTCTCCGTATTATTGCGCGTTTCCAGGAAAGAATGTAGGTCACACGAGTTCGATCCCATTCATATTTTCGTGTTTATGTGCATGGATATACTTTAAACGTTCACATCTCAGAAACGATACGAGATATCGATTTCGAACAAAGTTATCAATTGTACATTTTACTCTGCATAAAGATTATATTTTGTTTAAATTTATATGTTGTTGATTATTTATATTTTTTTTGAGATATAAAAAGTTAAAGTTTTTTACTGCTATTGTGTTAATTGCGAGGTTATTAATATAAGAATAATATTTATAAGAATTTTTTAAATATCTTTAAATTTCATAACAAATAATTTTTTATATTTAATTTAATTTATTTTAAATTATTAAAATAACTTAATAATACACAATTTGGAAATTTATTAAAATGTATAATTTATAGATAGAATAAATATTTTCATAAAAGATGAAAAATAGATTAGCCTTGTTAAGTGAAATAATAATTTAATATATTAATAAAGAACAATTTTGCAATATTTTTTTGATCAATTAACACGTATCGTAATAAAATATTTTCATATAAACGAAATAATTGTTCAATAAAAAGAATGTTTATAAATTGTATTTTAAATTTGATTCATAATTTCATGCTATGTAAATACGAAGAACAATTTCATTACATTTGATTAATTTCATGTTATCACGTGAATTATTAAGCAATATTTTCCATTCTTCCCTATTCTATATATAATAAAATAAGTTTAATAATGTAATATTTATTATATTATTTATTATATTAATATTTTATATTGTGTTGATATTACTCTAATATTATAATACAATGACAACGTTTTCGATATTTCTAATGAAAGAATTACTTTATATTTCACTTTCCTCTTTTCTCTGTCATTTATAAAAAGGCATATTAATGAAACAATAATTTAACCATATCAAAATAATAAATAGGTATAAAAAATTAAAAACTCCTTATTTTCTTATAAATATTAAAATTGATGTTTGCTATTATTAAGTATACTCGAAGGATATATTTGGAAACTCACCCCAAGAATCTTCCAACGATACCCATGCCATATTGCCTCCTGTTACTGTTGTCGAATATTCGGTCAATGGTACTTGGAGAAATTCTCGTAGGACCGGTAAAATCCCTCCTGAGAGTTACTCCCTCATCCTGCCGCACCCTCGTACTTTCGGCCAACGGGCTATGATACCTCAACCTGCCTCAACTCGTTTTTCTGTAATCTCCTTCTTGTTGTAGATTATAATACGCTACACTCGACGTTGGATACTTTTATGTATCTTATCCAAAATCGAGTATCAACGTACAACTACCAACTTTCGCGATTGATTCTTTTTATGAATTTTTATGAATTCAATCGTATTATATATCATATGTATACAGAAAAAATATATTGAATGTATTCGAATTGAAATTGAATTTCTTATAATATTACATTAATTTTTACAATTGATTAATACACACGCAGTAGATGTTTTAACTTTTTTTTGATGTGAACATAGATTTAACAAGTCGATTATCAGATGAAAAATAATATATGACGCATGAAGAATTAATTAATTTGTAAATATAGTCTAAAATACGAAGAAAGAAAAAAAAATTATTATTTTATATTATGATTGTAACAATATTAAATATATGAATATTTTACAAAAATATTATTTAACTTAAATAGAATTAATTCTTTTTTGATTTTTTTAATTTTTGATTTTAGTTAATATATTAAATGATATCTAATTGATGAATATGATTGAAAAATATGTTCGTTTCATAAAAAGAATAAAATTCTTTACCTTGAAATGTAATGGTCCCTCGAGATGTGACGAGATCTTCTGACCTGTCCATCAATCGTCGTCCTCTCATCCTTCTGTGGAGCAAACCTGCGAAATAATTATCCACTTATTTTATCAATCCTTTAAACAATATTCATTTAAAAGAATGCAGAACTTAATATCATACAAATAACTTTCTATAATTGTATTAAGGAATTCGGAATTATTACAATTAAGTAGGAAAGATTTGCATTTATATATTCAAAAATAACAACATATAAATAATAAATATCTATATATCACTTTTTATTGCTCTACAATAAACAAAATATTATAACGCAACATATTCTGAAGCCTCACCTGACCAATTCCTCGGATGTCTCTCTGTCACCCGCGGAATCGAGCAGATCCGCGACTTTTGCACCGTCCTCTTCGTCTTTCGCCAAGCCACCCAGACCCTGCTCGACTTGAGATTGTGGTTGCGCGGGAGGCGGCGGAAGCGGGGGCGGGGGTGGTGGTGGCCTGTCGAAGAACGATTCCTCTTCGTCCTGGCCGCTTTCAGGTGACGTCGCCGATTCTGACCTCGCCATATAGGTGAGCACGCTTGGTGGGAAGCTTCGTGATTCGGGTCTTGCTTGTGATCCCTCTCGGGGCCGTGGTCGAGTCAACGACTGTTGAACAAAAATATAAAATTCGTCAACAAAAGTTATGATTATCGTTAATTTTAATCACATTTAAATTAATTAAATACAATATATATCTGATCTTGTACGCATTGGAGAAACAAAATTTAAATATACATTATCCTTTTATGCATTAAGTAAATACGTTAAATTAAATTCCAATTTTTTTAAATATAATTAAGAATATGTTAAAAATAAATTACGATCAACTTTTAATTTTCTTTTGATATTAATATCAAAGTTTATATTGTTAGAATTTAAATTTATAAAAATCAAATGATTTTGCTTTTTGATGGAATTGTTTAACTTGTGCATTTTGTCGTTTATCTCGAAATGAAAGATTCGATTTAACGATTCGATATTTTTTTTTTCAACATATGGGTCACGTTACAATATTGGATTTTGCGTTAAATTTTTAATGGATAGCGAAATAAAAATTGTCTGAACTCTTTAATTACTCGAAATTAGTTGAAATATATATCATGCAGTGACTCTAACTATCAAGTTTTTAAAAATTTCATGTTATAAATATTTGGGTCATGATACAATTACAAACTGTAATATGAGTTTTGCGGCAGAAATGATGAGAAATGCCGAGAATCTCAATATATTTCATTTTTATCGTTCAAGAGATTTCATCGAATGAAATATTAAGATCGTAGTTTATTTGAAATTACTAGATCTCTGTACGAAGTGATCGTCGTAAATAAGATAATAAATTGAAAAGTCAAGCAGTTCTGCCATTTTAATAATAAATCAGATTTCGTTGAATGCTACTCTTTCTATTTTCTACTTCTTTATAATATATTTGATATATGTCTCAATTACAAAATAATTATACATTTTCGTTTTTATGTATTAGGAAAGTTATTAAAAAATTATTAAAAATCTTTATAAGATATCAAAAGAATTTGTATATATAATATTATAATATTGAATTTATTGACTGTAATTAATATAATAATTAATTATACAAACGATTATTAACAAATTATACGAATTAACAAAATTGAATTAAAGTTTTATTACTTTTTTTTTTGTCTAAATCATTCTTATTTTTACATATATCTAAATTATAAACATCTATCTAATTTATAGAAAAAATTGTTTTCATAGAATTTAAACTTCACATGATTTATCATAATATTCATTATACATACTTGTAAAAATAATTTTTATAAATCTTTGTTACATACTTAGTACTACCATCTTATTCAAAATATCAATCATTTAATGATATTTTTGATAACATAGATTAATTATTCCTACTAGAATTAGAAAATATCCCAATATATATAAATGACAATATCCATATTCTATTTTATCATTTCATTATTTATTTGCTATTTTATTACCATCCACTATCTTCTACTTAATCTATCATTTTCTTCAACATCAATCTTTCCAAACCAATACGTTAATGAGCAAACAAGCACGCATTTACCGCTGATATTACCATTCTAAATAACATTTATCTATATATTATTGCTTTTATTAATCAACCAATTAACCAGGATTTCGAAATAGAAGCGTTTTCCGTTTAGAACGTAGTGTGTATCTATGACCCTGTTATAGGCTGCTAATTTCGAGGAGGGTAACCATCATTCATTAATATTAAACTAGGGGGGCCGGCTACGTCTGTTACAACAATGCTACAATACCGGCCAATTGATTGGAACCAGCGTAATGCTATTTTACCGGCGGTCGATAACAACCTCGGGAATTATTTTATGCAATTAACCGTGCAATTATTCATATCAGAAAACAGAGCGAGCGTAACTAACGTCGTGTCTCGTGTGCACATTAATTTGCACGGCGACGAACCGTAATGCCCCTCTAATAGTTACCACGTTGATTACGTTTCCTCGCGAAATCTCTCCTGCACACGAATTCACCTTCTATGTTCTCCTTTTCTCGCATCCCAGATTTTAATTGCCTCTCGCATACGTACAATGGATATCTCGAGACTTTATCCGGCGTTAACAACCTGTCACGACAACGTGTCGTTTCTTCGATCGAGCGTGGCGTGTATCAACCCTTTGGAACTTTAGGAAAGACTTTAACTTAATGTGTTAAAATTGTCTATCTCAGGCCCTGTGTTTACTAAACATTGTTATTGATGGATCTTTCAATTTTAGAAATTTAGGATTTTAGAAATTGTATGCTGCTTTGGAGAATTTTTCTAAAAATTTTTGTTTTAACTTTAGAATAATGATAATTATAATATATTTGTAATATGATCATTCGTAATATGAGATAAATGATCAAATTTATTTTTGTACTGAATTGATATATACAAGATATATTGAAATTGAAGTGTCATATGATTAATAATTAGCAAAAGAGAATGTTTGATTAATTAATATGCTTGAGTATATAGCTTTATTGATTCGCAAAAGAAATTTATTATGTTAATATATTTGTAATGAATATTAAGATAAAACGATTGATACATCAAGAATTAGATATACAATTCCATTCAAAAAAATAATGTTAATCCTCATATTCTTCATTATATACAAATAAATTAATTAATAATACAGATAAATTATTTCTTTTTTGAAAAAAAATATTAAAACCTTTTTTTTGAATAATAAATAGTTCTTATTTTATAAATTAAAATCTAAAAATCTAATTTATGCATTAAAAATCTTTTTATCATATAATCAGCAATATTATCAGTGCATTATTTAACTGCGTTTCTTTTGTATTTCATATTTTTTATTACAAATTTTACAATAAATGTTTTATTCATTCACTTTCGTTATTTGATGAAAATGGATTCATTTTTAACTCAATTTTAACCCTAATAATATTCTATTTCTTCGAATTACATCGAATCTTTTAAATTCAAAACAGACGTTTAACGCTCAATTATCAATTCGAGGATGCAAAATTTAACATGGATCACATCACACAATTGCCACAGCATTGACTACATATTATTATTATTATTATTATCAATTTTACATAATACCAATATTCATCGGTGGACAAAATTAATTTAACGAAATGAATATTCTACATAAACACAAAATAATGCATATACATGGAAAATAATATTTATGTTCTAAACATAAATATGTAAAACATGTGCACTATACGAAATAAATAATATAAAATAAAAAATATATTCTTCTAGAATCTTTCAATTACAAAATATTCATTTCTTCCTTGCTTTTCCCACGAAAACATGCATTTGCATAAACATCTACCATCTACTAATATACAATACAATTATCAATTTCACTTAACTCTCTAAAAAAATTTTATCCAACGATAGTTAAAAGTATCTTGTGTTTGGAAAACGTGGAAAATCAATGTTTCGCAACGTTTGACAATGAGTGGAGAGCGCGAGATTCGAATTAATCGGTTATTCCAGAACGAATCGTTGTTCGTTTTTCAATGCCTCTGACAATAGGTGGCGGGAAAGAGATGGGGCATTTCTATAGCATTATGCAGATCTGTGTTTAATTATCGTGTTCGTGGAACAACGAACGCTTCTAGTGAACTCATTAAGCATGTCGCTTGTGGAGCAACGGTGATCGATATTAATGACGAATCAATGGTGTAATCCAATATCATGAGTTCGGCAGCTCGAGCAACAGACCCCTCCGTTATTAAGGGCCAGGAATTAATACGAATTACTGTCGTGCGAGTGGCGTTATTCCAATTAAAATCCAGCCTGACACGACCTCAAAAATTAAATCCTCACGAGAAATACACTCGGTGTAATTGACAGTCTTTTGTTCCTTTTGCCCCTTTACTATTTTCCTTCTTTGTTCCCGTTTTCTCTTTCATCCTCGCTGGTGAAAAAAACAAGAGGAGATGGCGATAAAAATCGAATGTGAGATGATGCATTAATTCGAAAAACTTTAAATTAAGAGAATTGTTAATTAATTATTAATGATCGATAATGAGGCTTATATTTTGATATCTTTCAAGATGTAAATTTTGGCAAAATTTATATTTCTTGAATTGTATTGCAAAAATGTATTGCACGTATATATAGATATGTTCCAAAAATATGGATTTCTGAGATAATTTGATGCAATATTTTCTTCTGAAAAAAATTTCAGAATGAGTTAATGAGTTATTAAAAAAAAACATATATATTATTAATAAATATATTTTTTTCAATGTTTTCTATTTCTCTGATTTAAGAAACTTTGAAAAGGATTTATTATTTAGAATGTTTTTTAATATCATTGGAGAGTAAAGTTATAATGTTATATTTTTTGTTGAAAGTAAAATTTAGCGGAGTATTACTTACTTAATTATTTTCCTTTTTTCAATTGCGATTTTCTTTTGTATCAACTTATGATTCTCCTTCTCCATATAAGAAAAATTAAAAAATTAACATTGAGTTAATTGAAATTAAAGAAATTAGTTTTGTAATATCTTTATAAAATATGTATTTATATTAAAATAAATAAATAAATGTTAAAAATCATCAAAATAATCTAAAAATGACAACAACGATTCTCTAAAAATATTTTGTGGCTCTTGTTTTAACTGAAGTTATTATAATGAATTATAAATAACTTATCAAATCAAATTAAAAATCTTGCAAGATTCTATATATTCTGTTCTATATATTCAAAAGATTGTTCAAATCTATTTATTTGAATTATTTTTCAATCACGCAATTAAACAAAATAATGTGAAAAAATTATTAGTAGCATTACTAATAATCGAAATTAAAATGAAATCTACAATTACAAAATCGTTCAACAAGATCGTTCCCTTTCCTTCCAAAAAAAAATCGACTAACGAAACAACAAGAAAAATCTCATATTTTTATCCAGGATAAATTAGAATCACTCGATATCGAGAGTTGCTACGAGAATTAAACTTCTCAATCAGGAATTCATCCTAGTCGAGAGAAGACTGAAAATAGCTGAAAGTAATCAACAAACTTAAACGACAACAAACACCGCGACTCGAACAAGTTAATAGAGAGAAACAGGAAAAAGAGAGAGAGAGAA